TTCGCATTGTTGTTTGTATGGTAGGTTGTACACTTTCGGTCTCTGGAAAACCCAAAGGAAGATGATTTTTGTCTGGAGATGTAAGTTGAAAGCCTAAACCTTCCTCGTGTTAGTTTCTGTCTTGATGTCTTTTTTCATGAGAAGTGTATATGCTAAATGAATCTATATGTATTGTATTTGTCTTGTGAACGTTAAGGTCAAAGATTGATACCTACGATAATGTCGTTGAAAAAGTAGCTCAGCTACTTGGTTTGAATGATCCATCCAAAATCAGGCTTACAGCTCACAACTGTTACTCGCAGCAACCCAAGCCTCAGCCTATTCAGCATCGTGGAGTTGGTTGTTTATCTGATATGTTGGTTCACTATAATAAGGTAATAGTTGAATGCCCTGACCAATGTGCACCTTAACTAAAATGCACAAATTGCAGGAAAAGTTAACCCTTTCTTTCTCTTTTTCTTGTGACAGTCATCAAGTATATTATACTACGAAGTATAGACAAATGTCACTGTAACGCAGCTAAGCATTGAGGTGGGATCTGCACCCTGCAGCATTTGGCTATTTATTTTGCTGTTTTCTTCAAGCATCTATATATATATCTGTGTTTAACAAACCTAGCATGTACTGCTTTCTGTTCGTCTCTGGGAAACCTCCAAGAGCTGAAGTGCCCCGCTTGGTGTGGTTTGGATAAATCATAGAAGTGGTTTGGATATTTTAAAGAATAGACTTTATATTCAAAATGTAATATACTTTATAAATTTATTAAAATACCTTTAATGAAAATTTCAAACTTCAAACTTAAAAGGATATCACTACTAATCATTAGCATAATATTCACACAATAAAACTACGTAAACCACTTCATGCTCTGCTTATCAATGACTTGTCATTTTTGGGTAGCATATTATTGGCGATTAAATTATCAACTTGTAAACAATAATAGGACCATTTTTACTAAAAAGGAAAAGTTCAAGTTCAATAATCTAGTAGTACCACTTGTTTCTAGTGAATCAAAGGTCAGAGAAGAGAAGAACTCTTCATTCCAAAGTCACCCAACCTCGCCTTAACCTTTTGCTTCAACCAATCGTCTAACACACGCCAATATGAGGGAAAGAATGCATCAAAGCTAGTCTTCTAGAAAAGCATTGTGGCAAATGAATTACATTTCCGGCTAGATTTTCCAATTTCTAACTTACTTAAAATCACCAACCAGATATTAATCTAACATGATTTAATTTTAAATTAGTTATAATTTAATTTAACTCTTAAATATTGGGAGGATGATAAAAAAAAAAAAAACTTTAAATCAGCTTTTAAAAAGATAGTTTTTAGCCCATGTTTGGATTAGTGGATTTGAAGAGGAGGGGGAGAGTGAAGGGTAGATATTTCCTTTATTCTGTTTGTGTTTTTTTTTTTTTTTTTCATTAATAGAGAGGGGGAGAGATAAAGGGATTGTTTGGTATAGTGGTTAAAATTCAGTAAATAGTGGATATCAGGTAGCGGATAGTAGATAGTGGTAGTGAGTAGTGAGTGATGGTTAGCAGATAGTAGATGACGGATAGCGGAAGGTGGGTAGTAGACGGTAAATAGCGAATTCGATAAATATAACTATTTGGTTATATAATAGTTAGTGGTTGTTGTTTAACATTAAATGACTAATAAGGACATGTTTAAAAACAAATAAGTGTATTTTTTAAAATATTTTTATTTTTTATTATTAAAATTATTAATTTTATAAAAATAA